GTGGCTGCTGCCGCAGCTGTACGCCACGCGCTCCAAGCTGTTGCTGCTCTCTAGATGTCCGGCACGGTGCCGTTGCTTTTTCTCTAGCAGATCTGTAACTGTTCCTGCTCCTTTCCTTTCCTGTAATTTCTTTCCGCCCGGGATTCCGTGCCGTGCGGGCAGTGCCCTGTGAGGCGCTGCGCGTCCGTGTCTGCGGGTACGCAGAGCCCGGTGCCAAAGCCTGGAGCGAGTGAGTCGCAGGGTGTGCGGCGTTAACGCTTGGCTGTCCGCAGCGGGAAGGGTGCACCAGCCAGCCCGTCCGCCCTCTGCCAGGGAGTCTGCACGGCCAGGGCTTCTCCCGACCCCTGGACATGGTGTTAAGCAGGACAAGAGGACACCACTGGTGAGTTGCTGTGGGAGAACATAGGACTTGAGTAAACTGGAGGGACTGAAAACCCCTGCCTGTGGCTTGAAGTAGGTTAGAACACATCATCGTGTGTCCTAGACTTGGTGTCTGTGTGTCTCTGAGGGTAAGATCAGCCCCTTTTGCCCCATCGCAGAGTTTCTGCTGGATGGAGATTGCCAGCCCTCGGACATAATAAAAACTGGATGACTACAATACCTGCCTGCCAAGCGCATTCCTGGTGTGAATTCACTCACTCGGTTATGCTCTTTCTTGTTTCTTTTTGCTTTGCCACTGTGCTGTGTGCCACTGAGCTGCAGCTCAGACAGCCGTATCTCAGACGCGATTTCAGCTTTTGTTGTCTTTGTCCTCTGTATGGTTCTTCTCATTTGTTCCATCTTATTTTTCTTTTGTGGTATTTCATTTCAATAGTGTGGCGATATTGAGTAAACTTTCAGTGCAAAGCTCACCTTTAACCAGTCAGCTTCTAGGCAATTTCTCTTATCACACCAGTAGTTCCTTATTGAACTTTACAGTCGCTCCTTAGATTGGTCACCGCCTAGTGCGGAAAATGGGGGATAAAGAATTGTTAAGCCTGGACTTCAGCTGTGTCAGGAACACAAGCTGTTTCTGGGCAGACTGAACTAAAAAAAATAACTTCTATCACCATCTGTGGAGTCATAGAATCATAGAACGGTTTGGGTTGGAAGGGACCTCAAAGATCATCAAGTTCCAACCCCCCTGCCATGGGCAGGAACACCTTCCACTACACCAGGTTGCCCAAAGCCTCATCCAACCTGGCCTTGAACACTTCCAGGGATGGGGCAGCCACAGCTTCTCTGGGCAGCCTGTTCCAGTGCCTCACCACCCTCAGAGTGAAAAATTTCTTCCTTAGATCCAAAAGTCGAGCAAATGAAGTTATGTTGTCCCCAGCAGATGAAACTGGGGTCCCTATGCAGCAGCTCAGATTGCTGTGCAGCATCATAACATCATCAAAGAACCGCATATCATTGAAATTTGGGCATGATACGAGGTAATGGAGATGTGTTTTTCTTTTGTCTGAAAGAAGAGCGTTTTGCCACGTAAGCTCCTGCTCAGTTGTAGAGCAGCCGTTGCTCAATGCCTGAACTTCTGTTGCACCTTTGTAGGCAAATACGGGAAGTTTTGTCCAGGAAGTAAAGTGACAAAAAGCTTTGTTTGCCCTTGCAGGCAGCTGATTTATGATACCTTCAGTGATCTGAAAAGTCCTGTGACACTGCATCCTTCTCAGCAATGGGGATTAAGGCACAGTCATGGCAGAATGCACAAAGTAAACGACTACCGAGAAACATCTCCTTGTCACTTAGCACGTGACCCGGATCTCTGATGATATTATGATCCTTTAAACCACATGAAAATCATCTTGCTGCTTTTTCAGGTCACAGGAACTTCTCTCTTGCTGCAGGGAGGTTGCCCAATTGTACTATAAGTACATTTTGAGCTTTTTACTTTTTTTTGCTCGGCTTCAAAAAGCACTGACCATCTTCAGCCCTTTCTGTTCAAGCTGGGGATATTCACGCAGTGTTTTTTGGCTGTTGTGTGAATGTGAGGATGAGTTTTCGACCACCTTATTGGTTTATTACTGGTGTTTTACCAGCTGCTAGATTAGCAGCTCTGGCCAGTGCTTCCCGTGATTAACTCTGTGATTGACAGCAGTTCCAACTCATTCACAACCCCAGTTACGCATCTTTAAGTAGTTACTGAGTCATTTTGCTCATCGAACCATCCAAAAAGGATGTTACCTGTATGTCTTTTAGTGACAAAAGAGCAACCAGAGGTAAAAACATCTTTTGTTTGAAATGCCAGTGGCAACTGTGCAGAGAACCACGTCCTTTTTCGCTTTCTGACTGCTGTTACTGCGTTTCAAATATTTTCAAGTTCTTGTCATATATCCCTCCTTTGGAGTGTTTCTCCTTGTGTGTGCTTACAGCTAACGTGGAAGGGGGATGTGGGAAAGATGTTGAGATCTCTGAATGCTTTTGCTGGGCCCTGTAGATGGGAAGGTGTGTGCCTTGAGACGTTGTTTGCTGTTTTCTCCCGTGCAGTCGTACGGAACAACATCAGCTGATGTATTTTGCAACAGCATGTTTGTACTGACAAATCAGCAAAAAGGGCATTTGTTTCACTGGTACCTTTTGCTGGCGCGGTTTGTCTTTCTACTTTGCTGTATTTAACCAGCTGTCTTTGAAGATGTGTTTTCAGATTTGAGCTTTTCTCTCTGCAGACATAAGAAGATGCAGCACGGCCACACCTTAGCCTTCATTTGATAGTACCATTACAATTTACTTTTGTTGGATGAGCTCCAGTCTGTTTTGAGCTGTCCACGCTCCTCCTTTCGCCCCTCTCGTACAACTCTGGCGCCGGCTGCGCGCCTGGGTTTACGTGTGATGGTAGAAGGGTCCCTGATGGTCCCCCAGAGAAGCAACGTATCGCTTCAAATGGCAACGCGACGGTAATGACCCAAACCACACTGCTATTGGCAAATACCAGTAAAACCAGCTGTGCTGGTTAGAAACCAGACAGATGGCAGCCCCAGTGGAGTGCTGGCAAGCGCTGTAATTCCCGAAGTGATGAGTGCAGTAACTGCTGAATTGTAAGTTTCCAGAAGTGGATTTAGAAATGTCATGATTTAACCCCACAATGGCAAGGTGTGAATGTTCTAGAGCCTGTGGGGCAGCTGCGTCTTTGCAATGTCCTGACCCGCCAAGGCTGTGCCGTGGGCTTGGAGGCCATGACCAGCATGGTGAGGAACAGGGATGCTCTGAGCCAGCCCCAGCCTTGCAGCTCCCACCACTGAAACCGAGGGGCTGGAGGCACTGGACATGTTTCTTAGGTTTGTAAGGCCAGATTGACTTAAATGCCCAAGGCTTTTAAATGTGAAACACGAGTTGTCAGGAGCCTGAACTGGAAATGGTGCTTAGGTACCTAACGTCTGCTGCTCTGCGGAGCTGTTGGAAATTATCTGTGAGGCTTTAGACCTCACTTTTGTGACAATACCTCCTTAGGAGGCTTCATGGGGAAGGCTTCCAGAGTCGTCGTCCTCCGAAACTTCTTGGCTTTGGGGTTGACCTGATGTTATTTTGAGCTGCCTGCTTTGTTTCCCAAGAGGATATGGTGATCTGAGTGGCCCTTACGATTGTCTGGTGGCACCCGTGCTTAGCCTCACCACGGACACCTGCATCTCCACCACGCGAGGCTGCGGCAGGGCATAATGCCCTCTTCTCTCCCCACTGCAGTGCTCCTCGCTGCAAACCGCAGTGCACGTGGGGCTGCCAGCCTTCTTGCCCGACATCAGCCGGGGATGCTTGGCAGCACTGCCTGGAGCACCTCTACCCAAATCCCTCCTGTGAAGGGATCCCATGTGAGGAGGCTGTGAAGGGATCCCATGTGAGGAGGCTGTGAAGGGATCCCATGTGAGGAGGCTGTGAATGGAGCCATAGCCTGTTCCACCTCCTGATGCCGAGTGAAGACCTGCTTCGGAAAACATGAGTCTATCACGCAGGGCTCCACCCAGCTTGCGCAAGCTGGTGTCCCACTGCCTGGGGCGCTCGCTCCCGCTGACGCCGGAGCCCTGCTGTGATGCTGCCAGGAGATGCAGGATGCAGGTCTGCCTGGCAGCCAGCTGCGTCCTGTCCAGGGTGTTGGATGCCACGGGTGACTCTGTGCCACGTGCTGCCATGTTCAGCCCTGCTGCTGCCTGCTCAGCCCCGTCCCTCTCGCAGCGAGCGCTGCAGACTGGCAGTGACGCTTTTGGGCAAGGAACAGCCCCAAACTCTGCCAAAGCCTGTGAGCACTGGTAGAGAAAAGCAAGATGGTGTGGAGCTTCTGTGCACACTAGACGCAAGCAGTGCCTCTGAGCGTGTGGGGTCTGGGGACGAAGAAGCATCGGTCTCTCTTGACTCATATTGACTTCTCATGCTAAGTTTAGATTGTCTCCAGGGCCAAGGCTGCCTCAGACCTAAGCTTGAGATGAGCTGGAATATCGTGGGGCAAGTGTGGCTGAGAGGCACTTGCCTGAGGCCTTACACAAGGTTTGGGCTATATTTTTTTCTTAGTGCTTCATCATTAGAGGATGGGTGGCCCATCAAAGTCATTTGGCTAAATTGCCTTTGGTCTTTGACCGGAGGCCAATGTGGAAAGACACGGCGAAGCCCTGCTTTTTTTGTGTGGGTCTTAGCGGTCCCTAATGCTGATAGCCCAGCAGCAACGTTCATTTGGGAAGCTGAAGATGCTTCTTGCTGCTTTCAGAGCTCTTCCAGGGCTGACTTTGCTGTCCATGCCAGATGGGCGTTTCAGGAGGGCAGAAGAGTTTGCCAGAGCCTCATCAGGCTTCTGGGAAGACAACACTGATGAGGGCTACAAAAGAGGTGCCCTTTGGAATCAGGCTCTGAAGCCTCTATCTCCCAGGGCGAGAGGGTGGAGATGTGGTTTTGGCCTGGACAGTAGGAATGATTTTTTGCTCTTGATGACAGCTGCCTTGTGTCCCACGTGGATGCCTGGGATTATACTGGCTTCCAGGAAGGTTCTTCCCCAAACCCTGCTGTGGTGGGCATCCTGCATTGAGGACCAATGACAGTGTGTAAGGCATCATCACAGAGATGGTCTTTGGGGACAAATCAGATAGAGCCAAGAAATCTGGGGCCAGTGTGCCAGTCTGGAGCAGAGACATGAGCCTGTCCCCGCATCCAGCGACAGTGGTACTTAGAGCTTCTCTGCTCTTTTCTGAAGCTATTCCAGGTCATGTCCATGACCGTGATCCAGCCTGTTCCTATTTAAAGCTTGAACCACTGCATACATAAAAGTCAACCTCAATCAACCTGGATTTAACTCTTTGTTTGAAGAGGAGCAGCTGAGCAGAAGTGGCAGAGGAAAGTTCACCCTGCATGGTCTGCTCCATAGGGTGATTTGGACTATGGAGAACTGCATCCATGGCCATGCTCTAACACA